GGTAAATCATCCGACAAATGCAACTGTCAACCGACCCCCTGTAAGATTCCAGATACGCGTGGCTATTTATTACATTTGGTCGTGTAAGTGCGATCTGTGTCCATTCCTTACGGTGTCAATATTATAATCCCGCTAAAGTCTCTCTATTTTCATCAATTACAATGTTGCACGTAACGATCTACAACGTAACGATGGAGGATAACGGCGCGCACGCTACAGTTGTGATGTCGACAATGTTGGTAACATCAAAATATAATCCTATTTGTAACACATCTAGCTGCAAACTAAACAACAACTACGCCGTTGCCATCGAACATGCCCGTTAGGTAATTAAAACTAACTCTAGCTGGTAGTGGATACAGTATGTCCTGTACTGGTTAACAGTTATAAGAGCTACAGTTTGTGGCTAACAAACTAGCTCGCGCACTTAGCCAGTTAGCTCAGATCCCGGCGTGATTGACGCGTCAACTAGTCGAGACAAATCGGGGGCTGCTGCGATTCGGAATGAGATGAATAATTAAGGGGAAAATAAAGTAAAACAACTAAAATAAAACAAAAACAAAAGCCCGACGTAAGCTCCCTCGCTCTCTGTCTCACTCACGACTTCATGTTGAGGAGAGGAACATACTTTCATGCGACGTCGGCCATCTTGCGACTTCCCCGCGGACCAACAGAAAGTGGGAGTGGAGGCGAGCTGAGGAAAGTGGGAGGGGCGATGTGCCTTGAGCCTGGGGGATGTAGTTTATTTCTGTCTGAATGTGTATCTGGACGTTTGCTTAAAAGACTACAACTACCATACAGCAAAGTGACAGACCCGAAGCATGCCATATCCAAAAGGACCGGTTCATTCAAAAGTTGAAGAAAATTGGTTCAGTTGGAAAAGCTAGATTAAAATTTCTGAAGTTCTTACATTGTGTAACTTGTGTGGGAATAAACAGTTTAGGGCCAATGGACTGCAAGAGTAGCCTACTAGGGGCTCTGCAGAAATGAGAAGGATATTTTTTTTAACAAATGACTGGTCTGTCAGATATCATATTGATAATGTTTAACAACATTTTCAACACATTTAACTTTTTTTCCCTTTATTTACTGTTTTAATTTTCATTCTGATTGACTTGTCAGTGTTTATTTCATTTGACAGTCGTTGACAGCAAGTTATAAAAAAATGTAATTGAAATATTGTGTTCATCTCATCTATTCTTTGTCAAAATGCTTTGAAAAAGCAATATACAATTTGAATTGACTTTAAAATCTTTTTTCTAATAGTATGTAACATGAAAAACTTTTCCTTTTTTTAAACATAGACCTACTGTCAATTTAACATGATACATCATAGGTATTTTAATAGGCTAGGTTTTGTTTGTTTTTTGTTCAGTTCATTAAAATGACAAAAAAATAAGTTATTTAATTTGGGAAACAACATATGTTTATAATATTCTTATTATTTTCTCGCATGGTACAAATGGGTCTTTAGGCTATATGAAAATATAGCTATGTAGCATTTAGTCCTTCAAAAGGTTTGAAAATCTCTGATTTAGGGATTGCCACAGGTTTTCGTTGCCACATTGAACAGAAGAAAATAGATTATGTATGGTACAGGGTTTCAAATATGTCTGATCTAAATGCAACAATATTGTGAAAAGAAAGAAAGAAAGAAAGAAAGAAAGAAAGAAAGAAAGAAAGAAAGAAAGAAAGAAAGAAAGAAAGAAAGAAAGAAAGAAAGAAAGAAAGAAAGAAAGAAAGAAAGAAAGAAAGAAAGAAAGGGCCATTTTATGTTCGAAAGTTGAAATCTGTGCTCTCTTTTTGAAAAAAATAATAATAATAATAGAAAAAACGATTTTCAAGTAGGCTAATGTTTTATTTTGAATGAAAATCATCACCATTCTAGGCCTACTTTCCAAATAGTGTGGAAAAGAATCTACAACCGGTTCGTTTGTCTGAGCTAGGCTACATGATTTATAAAATCCAAAGCAATTCAATTCAAATGAATGCTTATTTTAATAGCGTAAGTTGCTTCAAAAGGAGAGGCCTACAAATACATTTTTTATATGTCTATGAGCTACAATGGTTGTCTTGGTGTATGAGTCAAGCACGTTCACAATTGTGGTATATTTGTATTCCTTAGCAACTTAAAAAAAAAATAATACTAACGTTTGAGCTATGGATGTATGTCATTTGTGTTGTAGCATAAACCGTGAATGTTTTCAAGTAATGTTATGACAGACCTTAATGAATCGAAAACCGTTTTTTTTTTTAACCCATGGTTTGGCCTACAAACGAGATATATCCAGCTGCAGACCCGCAGCACCACCAGTTTCAGAACCCCAGCGCCAGAACCCCAGTGCCAGAACCGGAAGTGAGGGAGGGGCGGAATTATTGACAATGACACAAGCAAGGTTATTTTTGCAAGTATTTTAAAATATTTAAAATTGTTGCATCTTTTAAATAATATTTAGGGTATGTTTATATTACACAGTGAGTCTATAGGAATACCAGACTTACATTTCACTGCTCGTTGTATGAACTATAACTGGTATGTGACAAATAAAGAGCAAGACAGCGCTCGTGTTGTTTTAAGACAGAGTGCGCGCGCGCGGCCAGGGCTCTCTCTCTCTCTGCTCGTTAAGCGCCCTGTCATGCGCAGCAGTCATTCTTTTCTACATCACTCACCGATCAAAATTGGCTTTGGCGGGACACAAATTTGCTTTGGCGGCCGCCAAAAAGCGGACGATCTGACGGGTTTTAGAAGATTAAATACAACCTGAAACTAAAAAACAGACCCGACCTCTATTTGAGACCGGCCTTTATTGACCCAAACCTGCAGCCACACCAGGCGTGTAGGCTAAAGAGACAATCGGCTATTTGGGACTCGGCTATTATTTGAAGTTTTACGGTACATTTTTATTGTTTCTTTTAAAACAATGCCGAATGTTCAAAGATTTTGGACATTATTTTACATAAAGAAAAATGCATGCTGCACATGTTCTTGTGAAATAAAGTATATTTTATATAAAATTTATTATTATTATTTTTTTTTACCATCATGACCAGGAAGTAACTCTCATAATACAATGAAACGGATAACTATATACAATTATATTACACAAAATCATTGTTTTAAAATGCTTATTGTACTATACCTTAATTTATCATTATAATACGTATAAAGTATGACGTTTCGTGTGTAATAATGCCGTTTCGTGTCTAAGCAAATTACGCTCCAAAACGTTAGGTGGCGTTACTCGGTTTAGAACGTAAGCTCCGCCCCTCACTTCCGGTCCTGGCGCTGGTGTTAGAACGTAAGCTCCGCCCCTACTTCCGGTTCTGGCGCTGGGGTTCTGAAACTGGTGGTGCTGCGGGTCTGCAGCTGGATACTATTGCTACAAACTGACGTCATGACTGAAAAGCTCGACAAGATGGATACAAATGGATATATCCTTGTATATGTTTTTGTTTAATCATTTGTTTTAGTAGTTGTTGTGAGTTGTATTTGTACGAATTTTGTACACACTGGTATTAAAAAAAAAAATATATATATATATATATATATATATATACTGTATATGTGTATATATATTTATATATAGGCTACTGTATATGTGTGTGTGTACGGTATATATACACTCACCGGCCACTTTATTAGGTACCCCATGCTAGTAACGGGTTGGACCCCCTTTTGCCTTCAGAACTGCCTCAATTCTTCGTGGCATAGATTCAACAAGGTGCTGGAAGCATTCCTCAGGGAGTTTGGTCCATATTGACATGATGGCATCACACAGTTGCCGCAGATTTGTCGGCTGCACATCCATGATGCGAATCTCCCGTTCCACCACATCCCAAAGATGCTCTATTGGGTTGAGATCTGGTGACTGTGGAGGCCATTTTAGTACAGTGAACTCATTGTCATGTTCAAGAAACCAATTTGAAATGATTAGAGCTTTGTGACATGGTGGAAGTAGCCATCAGAGGATGGGTACATGGTGGCCATAAAGGGATGGACATGGTCAGAAACAATGCTCAGGTAGGCCGTGGGATTTAAACGATGCCTAATTGGCACTAAGGGGCCTAAAGTGTGCCAGGAAAACATCCCCCACACCATTACACCACCACCACCAGCCTGCACAGTGGTAACAAGGCATGATGGTTCCATGTTCTCATTCTGTTTACGCCAAATTCTGACTCTAACATCTGAATGTCTCAACAGAAATCGAGACTCATCAGACCAGGCAACATTTTTCCAGTCTTCAACTGTTCAATTTTGGTGAGCTCTTGCAAATTGTAGCCTCTTTTTCCTATTTGTAGTGGAGATGAGTGGTACCCGGTGGAGTCTTCTGCTGTTGTAGCCCATCCGCCTCAAGGTTGTGCGTGTTGTGGCTTCACAAATGCTTTGCTGCATACCTCGGTTGTAACGAGTGGTTATTTCAGTCACTGTTGCCCTTCTATCAGCTCGAACCAGTCTGGCCATTCTCCTCTGACCTCTGGCATCAACAAGGCATTTCCGCCCACAGAACTGCCGCTCACTGGATGTTTTTTCTTTTTCGGACCATTCTCTGTAAACCCTAGAGATGGTTGTGCGTGAAAATCCCAGTAGATTAGCAGTTTCTGAAATACTCAGACCAGCCCTTCTGGCACCAACAATCATGCCACGTTCAAAGTCACTCAAATCAACTTTCTTCCCCATACTGATGCTCGGTTTGAACTGCAGGAGATTGTCTTGACCATGTCTACATGCCTAAATGCACTGAGTTGCCGCCATGTGATTGGCTGCGTAGAAATTAAGTGTTAACGAGCAGTTGGACAGGTGTACCTAATAAAGTGGCCGGTGAGTGTATATATATATAAATGGACGCTAGAGCGCGCCAAAGGCAAAATGTGTTTGGTTATAAAAGTTAATTCTTGAGTTTTGTGTCAGCTGATTGTTGTGGAACAACAGCGCTGCTGGCTCAACAATTCGGGTTGTTTGCTGATGCTGGAGCGGCAAAAGCTGAACTCAATGCAAAATGTTCATAGCAGCAGCCAGACCAGCGCTCTTCCTCTCCTCTACGCGTCTGCAGCAGCCATGGACCGGACTAAAGTGCACGCTATGGAAAGTAAGCCTCCGCTTAAATTGTGTCATCAATCAACAAATGTCAAGCACGTGTAGTTTATCGTCAAAGTCAGGTCGGGGAAAGAAAGGTGTGGTGTACGTTCTCTGACAAGGACATGTCTGCTTACATGCCAGAGGTTTCATTGATGTATTTATTGAAATATATTAGACTTTACAGAAAATTTTGCAATTATTTTATGACGGACCAGCTAACATTAACAATGTTTTGTCTCTGGATGCATTTTTCCTTTTTCTAAATAATGTCAGCTGAAAGTGTGCTGCCAGAGGGAGAAGTCCTCATATAGGCCTACTGTAAGTTTTGGACTAAAGCCTTAATTTACGATAATACGCATTATAATTAACGATTACAGCATGACTATTTTTCTTGCAACCCTTTACTGTCACCTCACTCCCTCTTCCTCCCTATTAATCTGAAATGACCTAATTATACTTAGGGTTCCTTGTAGAGAGAGGTAATATATTTATTGTAGTTAAAAAATATTTAATATTAAATCTTTTTTAAGGACTTAAATGCAGCTCCACTGTACCTCCAATGTTCTGCTTCTCTCTTGTGCTTGTAAGCTGATTTGTGTAAGCATAACCAAAGCAGAATGGATTTGACTCTCTCCTCTGACTAACCACTCCTGTTTACTCATTCTGATTCATCAACTCATCGTGACCAGACTATTGTGAGTACTGGTTCTGCAAACTATATATGTGCTTACAGGATGTGTGGTAGATTAGTGATGTCTGGGCTTGACATTTAGATCATCGACAGGTACAAACATCCAGGTCACTGACAGGTATTTGATTACAGTTTCAGAATATAAAATGCCAACGTTTTTGTGCATTAATCTCAATATGGCAATTTATTAGTTGTAACAGCTAAATATATAAATTAATTACAATCACATATTGAGCGTACTGTATGTAATGGTAATTTGGCCCTAAATATTAGCTGTAGCAAAAATATGAAATCATCTTTATTATATGGAAAAAACATATGGTTTATTAAAATGTATGTTTTACCTAGAACTACCGTTTAAAGGGATACTCCACCCAAAAATGAAAATTCTGTCATCATTTACTCACCCTCAGGTTGTTGCAAACCTGTATGAGTTTCTTTCTTCTGCTGAACACAAAGGAAGATATTTTGAAGAACGATTGGAACCAAACAGTTGTTTGGCACCCTTGACATCCATAGTAGAAAAAAAAAAAAATACTATGGAAGTCAATGGTGCCCCACAACTTTTTGGTTCCAATCATTGTTCAAATTATCTTCTTTTGTGTTCAGCAGAAGAAAGAAACTCATACAGGTTTGCAACAACTTGAGGGTGAGTAAATGATGACAGAATTTTCATTTTTGGGTGGAGTATCCCTTTAAGCTTGGGATTGGTAAGATTTCTTTTATGTTTTTGAAAGAAGTCTCTCATACTCAACAAGGCTGCATTTATATATATAAAAAAAACAAATACAGTAAAAACAATATTGTGAAATATAATAAGTTTAAAATAGCCGTTTTCTATTTTAATATATTTTAAACATGTAATTAATTCCTGTGATGTTAAAGCTGAATTTCAGCATCATTACGTCAGTTTTTCAGTGTCACATGAATCTTCAAAAATCCTTCTTCTAATATGATGATTTGCTGCATAAGAAACATTTCTTATTATTATCAATGTTGGAACAGTTGAGCTGCTTAATATTTTTGTGGAAACCGCGATAAAAAGAATTCCAGGATCCTTTGATGAATAGTGTAAGTCCGTCTAATTCGATCCAAGGGCGGCATTCAAATTAGCGGTGAAGGTCTCAACGCGCGTTCCGTCTCTTCCAATGGCAAAAGGATTTTTTAATTAAATATAATATATTTTGTCTTATGTATTAACTCGTTTCATCTGACTCCATAAGATGAAAGTGTTTTTCAATGATATCTGTGCATCATTAAGTATACGTTAATGTTTGACTGTTTCTTTTAACTCCAATGAAAATAATATCAAAGTCTGTTAGAATAATCAAATATAACAATTTATTATGTCAGGTAAAAGTATTATGCCAATTTCATAATCAGTTCAAAGATCATCAATACAAAACATCAAATGCTCTGATAAGAGAAATAGATGCAATCCCAACATTTAAGAACTACATGAGCTAACCTCACGGGCTGATCTGAGATACAGAAAACAGCCCTGATCTTTCAGTTGCATTTCCTTATATACCATGACCTCATTTCATATGTAAGTTCCAGTGGAAATTTACTGGTAGGTAACCATTTGCTTAGTTGTAATTTGCATTCAAACAAAAGGCCAGAAGGTGTTAACTCCAAGACAAACCCTTCTGTGTAAAGGATATTTCTATATTCTTAATAACCTTATTACCTTTTGTTTTACTTCTTTTGGAATGAGACACTCGTACCAGCCACCCTGAGACCTTTAAAATGATACTAAACACAATCCTTAATGATAATCATTCACATTAAAACCATACATATATTCTTATGTGAGTTTCAGGTGATCTGCAAGAGTGGGGGGAAGCTGTGTGTGTGTGTGTGTGTGTGTGAGAGAGTTGTTCACATGTTAATTTGCAAGCAAGGTCCTTTGTCTTCGGAGACCAGTGGTCAGATAATTTCTCTTTAACCAGTTTTCCAGTCTTACAATAGAAAGTTCAAAAGAACAGAAGTTATTTAAAAATAGAAATTGTTTGTAACATAATAAATATCTTTACTGTTGCTTATTATCAATTTAATGCATCTTTGCTGATTAAAAGTATTAATTTCTTTCAAAAAAAAATTAATCTTACTGACCCCAAACCTTTGAATGGCAGTGTTTAGTAGTATTGTGTTGGTAGAATTTAAAGCTGATGAACAAATGACAAGTAGTGGTAATAGTTCCTGTACCTAAGGTTTGGCTTCATATTGTAAGCTTGACCTTTACCCTTGCTTCTACCCTTCTTTTGTCAATGGTCTGTTTTGCATCTTTACCCATCAGCCCCCACCTGCTAAATATGGAGGGAGACACACAGTGACTTTGATCCCTGGCGATGGTATCGGACCAGAACTGTTGAACCACGTCAGAGAGCTTTTCAGGTTTGAATAGAAAGCTCTCTATAAACAGACTTTACCGGCGAACACTAAAGAAACCCTCTTATGTTTTTAGCATTCAACAATATTCCCAGATTCTGCTGTGTGCCTGTGGACTTTGAGGTTGTCAATGTGAATTCGGCTGCTTCCTCTGAGGATGACGTCAATAATGCTGTTACTGCAATCAAACGTAATGGAGTAGCACTTAAGGGTGAGCATGAGAATATGGTTCATTAACCTTAGAAATGTTTGCTATATATAAGGGATATAAATCTATTAGTAACACATCAGTTGTCGGCCAATTCTTGATATTTTAATTGTTCATGCTAATTTCCTCTATTTTTACATTTTGTCACAAGATTACCTTGCACACACTTAAAGTACATATTTAAAAACACTATTTTAATTACTAACAACAATTTATTAACACTTTTAAATATTTGGCAAATCTGAAAATCAATATCAATTTTAAATCATGCCAAAATTCACATAGCATTTAAAATAATTGATTATATTTTTAATTTTAGACAAAATGGTAAAGAATTTTAAAATCGGCCACTTAAAGGGCATATTGCAGGTTAGAGGACCCAACGAGTCAATGTATAGAAAAATAATGTAGGAACTAGATTATCTTTAAAATATTCTTATAAATACGCTACACAAGCTTACAGGAGTCGTTTTTGTGAGAAAATTTTACTTCCGCGTCTGAAAATGGGCGTGGCGGGCGTGACGTAACGGGCGGGAGAGCGGTCGATTCAAACAACAGGAAAACAATGGATCGCAATGACATTTCAGACGCTGAGGAAATACTTACTCGTATGACGGACGACAGCCATACAATTTTTGAGCCTGCTATGCTGCCAAGAGAGTAGGGACAGGCCAGGATTAATGTTAGACAGAACGGTCAGAGACACATTGAGTTGTGGTGTGAGGAGAACCAGTGGAGAACAGGACAGGTGTCTTGGTGAGAGACGTGCTTATAGATACACGTTCGCTAACGATATACACTGTGCTCACAATATTGTACAGATTATTACCATCGTATATCAGTCCAGCAGACATTACTATGTTTAGGGTAGAGGTTGTTTAAATATTCAAATCTTTAATTTTCTGTTTATGTTATAACCCAGGTGAAAAATATGTTTTAAAAATGTACTTGAGTATGTTTTTAGTAACTTACAATAGAAATATACTCAAGTATAGTTTTGTTTTTCAATTAGCCTACAAGTTGCCTCTATTTAGGGCATGACTACCTATATCACACTATTTGATGCCATTGGTACAGTATACGACGATCAATATTATTGCTTCGGCATCCCATGTTAAACTCCATCATATAGCCGGGATGATAATCCTCCGATCTGAAGTGAACGCTACACACGACCGCGTTTCTCGAAGCCGATGCGGAAGAGAAATCCCGTCTCTTCACCTGCACAAACCGCACCAGGCACGAAAGATATACAGCACCGTCCTTTTTCTTATGGAAACCTGTGGACTCGATGTCCTGACAGGCCGGAGTTTTTGCAACCTCCACAAACACAATAATTTACCATGACGATGATAAATTGAAATCCAAAAACTACCTAAAACACACTGACTCACGACTGCTCTCACTGAATACCAGCCTACTCTGCACTGAGCCGAGGCGGAGGCTCCCTGACGTGACGTAAAATGACGCGATGTTGAAAAAAAAGCCGTTGGTTTTTACAAGCAGTCCAAGCTCACTTTATCTACTAAATTAGTGCCCTTATGTCGTTTTAAAACATTTTAAATCCTGCATTAACTTTTCATATGGTATTTTCATACAAGGTTATATATAAATTTAGATATTTTTTTTTACCTGCAATATGCTCTTTAACTGTTAATTTCTAGAACAAAAATCTGAACATCGGATGAAGTCCGGTTCAAAATTCTTGTTTCATTTATTTTTATATGTTAGTCAAAGATTTTTACTGAAGGGATTTTGGATATCTCTATCACTCCACAAATCAGAAAATACTGTCAACAGCCAAAATTAAATATCCATTTTTTAGGAATAAAATGTTGTATAAAATCAGGAAAATTATATATGAACAAACCCCTCGGTAAAAACCTTCAGAATATAAATAAGAATAAAACTGTAAAGTTTGGTGAATGTAAGTGCTACTGAAGTGGAGATTTCTGGTTCAATGTAGGAGGGAAAACTCATTTTGAGAAAACGGCCTTTAAAGATATATACTGTAATTGAAATCTACAGACGCAAATAGATAAAGTGCAATAAAAGATACAGTTAAAAGTGTATTTTGGATGTTTTCTGTCCACTAGTCTGAAAAAACACGTTGTGAAAAGCCAAAAAGCCCAAAATCTCAAAATTGATAGATGCATGAAAAAACACTGTTTTTGCCTGTTGTGTCTCCCATTAACATAGAAGTAATGGACTTTATCATCATAATTAAATAGCGGTGCTCGCAGTCCTATTATATTACAGGTAATACTCTTTTACAGGTAACATAGAGACTAATCACAACCTTCCTCCATCTCATAAATCCCGGAACAATTTGCTTCGGTAAGATGTTTAAATGTATTTTTTTCTTTACTTGATTATCTATGATAAGTCCAGAGGGTGAGTTTATATAAACTGTTTGAACTCTCCCACAGTACATCTTTGGACCTGTATGCTAACGTGATGCACTGTCAGTCTCTTCCCGGAGTCCCGAGCCACCACAGAGACATTGATGTCATCATCATTAGGGAGAATACTGAAGGAGAGTACAGCAGCTTGGAGCATGAGGTCCGTGTGTTTGGGTCTCTTACAGTTTGAGGACACCAGGTACTGAACACACATTCCTCAAGTTTAAATCTTCTTACTTTCAGAATGTTCCCGGGGTGGTGGAGAGTCTAAAGATCATAACACGTGTGAATTCATTGCGGATCGCTGAGTATGCCTTTAACTTGGCCAGGGAGAAAGGTCGCCGCAAGGTCACAGCAGTACACAAAGCTAATATCATGTGAGAGTCTGTCCTTACCTGCTTTGTTTTCAGCCAATTCATCAGGCAAAATACTGCTTCAGAACATATCTGCCTAAACGTTATTGTTCAAAAGTTTGGGGTCAGTCAGATTTTTTTTGTTTAATTTTATTTATATATATATATTTGAAAGAAATTAATACTTTTTCAGCAGGCATTAAACGGATCAAATGTGATAGAAATATTTTGTATTTAATAAATAAAAACATTATAAAAACGTTCCTATCTCAAATAAATGCTGTTCTCTTGAACTTTCTATTCATCAAAGAATCCCGAAAAAACATATGTTTTCCACAAAAATAGCAAGCAGCACATCTGTTTTCAGCACAGATAATAAGAAATGTTTCTTGATCATATTAGAATGATTTCTGAACGATCATGTGACACTGAAGACTGGAGTAATGATGCTGAAAATTCAGCTTTACAACACAGGAATTTTAGAATATATTGAAATAAAATGTCATAATATTTATATTTTGCTTTATTTTTGATCAAATAAATTCAGCTTTGGTGAGCATAAGAGACTTCTTTCAAAGACATTTTACCAAGCCCAAACTTTTGAATGGTTGAATCCTGTTCAAATATTGGTTTAATATGGTACAAGTTTGAATGAGTTTGGGATTGTTTTTCTTTTGCTTTATAGGAAGCTGTGTGACGGCCTTTTCCTGCAGTGCTGTAAAGAGGTGGCAGCTGGATATCCTGATATCACGTTTGATGACATGATTGTGGATAATACCACCATGCAGGTATTTAAATGGGGAACTACATAAGTGAATGATATTTTATTGCATTATTATGTTATAACTATTCTTTGGAGGCTTAAGCATCATTTCTGACAATATATTTATCTAGTTATTTATTTTGAGTTCATTTGTATAGGGACAGTATAACAGTTTTAATTGAAAGACTAAATAAGAGGCATTGTACATGGAGATTATATCAAAAGCTAATTTGCTCACACTACTGTTCAAAAGTAATAATAATAAAAACATTAAACATCAGAAATGTTTCTTGAGCATCAAATCAGTATTAGTTATTTCTGAAGGATCATTTGACACTGAAGACTGGAGTAATGACACTGAAAATTCACCTTTGCATCACATAAATAAATTAAACTTTTATTGTAATATTTCATAATATCTGTGTTTTTACTGTATTTTTGATCAAATAAATGCATACTTGGTGAGCACAAGAAAAAAAAAACATTAAAAATCTTACTGAACCCAAACCTTTGAACGGTAGAGTATTCATAGAAAGGCTTAAAAACAGACCCATAAAAAGCTAAACATAATTACTCTATAGGACATTATAAGTTGTACGGTATATGTATATATATTTTTTTTTTTTTTGTATAGCTGGTCTCTAAGCCCCAGCAGTTTGATGTGATGGTGATGCCAAATCTCTATGGAAATGTGGTGAGCAATGTGTGTGCTGGACTTGTTGGAGGTCCAGGTCTGGTACCAGGAGTCAACTACGGCAAGGACTGTGCTGTTTTTGAGAGCGTAAGAATGAACAGAGCAGGCACTGGATATGTCAGCTGTCGGAGTGACTAGAGGATATATGAGGTATTATTTGTGTTTATACAGGCCACAAGGAACACTGGGAAAAGCATTGCTAACAAGAATATTGCAAACCCCACGGCCACACTGCTGGCCGGATGCGTGATGCTGGACCACTTGAAGTGCGTGTGTATGAATATTAATTTTATTATTTTCATTGGACCTTTTACCAATATTCCAGTTATTAGATCCTCATTTCCTTCATGCATTATGACATACACCATAATTATACATACAAATCAAGAAAAAGTTGCTGCATGATTAGAACTGTGCATTGTTCATGTCTGGGCTGTCTTTTCCTTTCCTAGGCTTCACGCATATGCCAGGATGATTCGAAAGGCAGTTTTGAAAACTTTGTCTGAAACTCGGGTATGATACATGCTAAATCTCATTATGTCAAACAGCTGTATGATTGCATGCCATTCCACTTTGCCTATGATAAGCCAAATCAGTTAATGTTACTCAAACACGTCTGCTGTATTATATCTCTATGTCTCTTCTGTACTCATACAGCTTGTATGGTCATTTGTTTCATTGCAGTTGCAGACTGCTGATTTGGGAGGTCAGTGTACTACATCTGAAGTGGTCCACTCCATTATGCAGGAGATCCAGAGAGGAGGACCACGCACATCAAAACAGATCTGAACTTCATTTCAGCAGGTTCTAGAGACCACACAAACAATCCAAATACATGCCTAATGCTTCTGTGAAAAACAGGTGAAATACAGAATCTCTATGTTTAACAGTATAAGTGTTATAATCAGGTTAAGTTAAAGCCTTTGTCTGAAGTGGCATGGACAGGTTCTGTATGAATTTTTCTGAATTTATGGATATTTATTGCCTGTTGTTAACTGATGATGCACCAAACACTTTCATTAATACATTTCATACATTGTACATCAAACTTTTGTTCATGCCTCGAAAGACATTTCATGAAGTTCAGTGAAGTAAAAAAGATAAGATGACTTGGTTTGATTGACAAACTTTTTCCAGTAGGTGGCACTGAAACGCTTTACTTCAGCCTCATTAAATTTGGATGCTTTTTGACATTAATTCATGAAAATCCTAAAACGTGTTGATTTTGTTTTTAGTGCAGAAAATGGAAAAATATATTACATGTAATGTTTACTTTCAGTGCAGGTGTGCAGTAATAAGTGACAAATAAATTAACTGATATATTTTGAACATGACATTTAAGTGTTTTCACCTATGCTGGTCATTCATTAGATATTTTGCATCATGAATCCTGTAGGAATGTTGAATGTATTTGGAAACAAAGTAAATCTACCATCAGTGAAATGTTAATTTAAAAGTCAAGAGCTTGAGATACTTGCCCAAAATATATGCCTATGAAATTTCTCTGTACGAGAGTGTTGGCGGTCGTTGCTGTTCGATTATGATTAATACTAGCCATTTTTTTGAAGTTGATTTTCATTTTTTTATGAATGATGCAGAGAAAGGGAAATCACTCAACTGCTGGCTGAATTAGTGAGGTGTGACAAGCGGCAACACTTGTTTTTGACCTGCAGGAGTTCAAATAATTGTATGGAGGAGAAACAAAAAGGTCAGATGAGGAAAAGATCCATCAAAGGGGAGAAAGTCTTCAAAGGAACTAATGTCACCCTGTGGTTATTAAATCAATGCAAGTGAACTCTCTTGATGAGGGAGCAATTGAGTGGAAAAAATACATTTTCCCATTGCCAGTGAGAGGGCGATGAAAAGGAAAGAGATGGAATGTCAAAAAAGGAATGAAAAGGAAGAGAAACTGATGTTGAAATGAAAAACAAAGACCTTAGCAGGGTTATATTGATCACATTTTTCTGTTGATCACACGTACATTCTCACATGATTTGAATTATTGGCTAAATATATATATATATATACATTTGGCCATCTTTGCTCACAGCAGGAGGGAGAGGGTCACGGGTGGGCTGTTACGAGCGCTTTGCCAGTAATATACTATGAAGTACTGAAGTGAACTAGAATGAGAAAAACAGCTTCAGCTTCTCAGGTCCAGCAATGCAGAGAAAAACAGCTCGTGAATCAGACTGAAAAGGGCCAAAAGTAATTTTGCTGCCTGTAACTGTGCTTTCAAAAACAAGACACATTCCAACTGAAGAGGACTCTCCAAAACCAAGGGTGTAGTTTTTGTCTGAACATTGGAGTGTGAACAGTTTTAGCGGTTTAGTTAAAAATGGTCTTTTGTGGTATCTATATCATCCACACGTGCAAAATTGGTTAATAACATAATTGCAATAAAGTAATAGTTAACAATTACTTGTTTAAATAGGATATATGATGTATTTACTTTATTTAAGCATCTGGAGTTTTATCAGTTTGACAGAATTTTCTATTTGAAAGTGCCATGGGAAGTCAAACTTTATTTAACATTCTTATATGAAAATAGTTTATTTCCTACTCCTTGACAGTTCATGCAGCCTCTATGATTTTGGCTATGTCATATCTTGGAATATCTGAAGGCCAGTTTTTTCCTAATATCAGTTATCATTAGAACAGAACAACTTTCACACATGGAGAAAACTTGATTGTTTGGCCAATAATTCAAGAAGCTCTTGATAGCTCTAACTTGTACTTGTACTGAAAATGTACCATACATCTTGTAATTGTTTACCTGTAACGTGTTACAATAAGGCAAGCTGTAACTGGCTCCTTATTTGGCCAATGTTGCTTTTTTTATTATTGATCGATTTGTTATGAAAAATAGCAGCCAGCTCATTTAGAAACTAGCTAATACTTTCCCCTCCTAACATTATCCACTAGCATTCCCCAGACGTTATATTCTAACATTATCCACTAGCATTCCCCAGACGTTATATTTTAACGTTTTCCTCTAACGTTCCCCTGACGTTATATTCTAACATTATCCTCCCGTAATTTGCATGGCCCAAACTCCTTTATGAATAATCGGACCAATATGTTTGTCTAATGTTGACCAGTTGCCAGATCTTGTATTAAATGCATACAATCCACACACCATATACAATTTCAACCCGTTTGTCATCTCAACCTGGCAACCTATAACCCAGTTGCGCAGTCGCGGAAAGCTTAACCCGGAAGCGAGCACCACACCCCAATCCCCCCCGCGCCGAACGGTCCCCGCACAAATCTCCCGGATTTTGAAAAACAAATGTTGACAGCTGTCTCCCACTCAAACGCACACATACAGTATGAACACACACTTGTACAGAAATGTGTTGTCAGCGCTGCTCTGATGATTTTATCAGTAAAATAGTTTAAATAACTTAAAACCTACATGACATTTCTCACCAGCGAAGTAATAAAGGTGCTGTTCTAGGAAATACTGAAGCCTGATTGCATGGAGCCGGTAAAATTAACTGGCCAACGGCCTACTACAGTATATAGCTCGGCGCTCACTGTCAATCTTTCGACAGGCATACAAGACTCAAGGCACAACACAGCAGCGTGTGCAATGTCTCGTTCGCTCCTCTCAGGGAAATGAGGTAACTTAAGAGTAACCAGAGACGTTCCCTTTCGAGTTGGTCTCTCGACATTGCTTAGCTATGCTGGGGATCGCGTTCAATCCTGCTGTGTTGTAACCTAACATAGAGAAGAGTACACGAGCCAGACTCAATAGAGCCGAGCCCGTTGACCATTTCACATCCCCTAGTGCACCTAGGGTAAAAGATAGTAGAGACTTCATATTAGTAAAGAGTATGCGTATTTGGCATGCTGTCCGAGGGGACGGCTCAGAGCTTGGAATTTGGCCCGAACCCAGAGTACTCCCCCCGTATCCTTGGTTAGGAAAGTAATCAGGCGAGATTGAGGAGACGGGGTGGTGGAGGGATGCAAAAAAACTGTCGGGGAACATAGGTGAGTTGGCTATATACAGTGGGGAGAACAAGTATTTGATACACTGCTGATTTTGCAGGTTTTCCCACTTACAAAGCATGTAGAAGTCTGTAATTTTTATCATAGGTAGGACTCTTCAACTGTGAGTGACGGAATCTAAAACAAAAATCCAGAAAATCACATTGTATTAGGGGTGGAACGGTACATGTATTCGTATTGAACCGAAACGGTACGGGCGTCACGGTTCGGTGCACGAATTTGCACGCAGAATACACGGTACAAATAAAAAAAACCTCTTAAATAGCGATAAATTTCGCTCTATTCGCTTTTGGTGTGACTGTGAACGCAGCAATGAACAGGCTGCGATCAAGATTGCAATGCAGGAGTGTGTGTGTGTGTGTGTGTCTGTGTGCGCGAGAGAGAGAGAGAGAGAGGCGCGATGAACAGTGTGTGTGTGTGTGCGAGAGAGAGAGAGAGGCGCGATCGAACAGTGTGTGTGTGTGTGTGTGTGTGTGCGCGCGCGTGCGCGTGCGAGAGAGAGAGAGGCGCGGGCGCGAATCGCGCGATGAACAGTGTGTGTGTGTGTGTGTGTGTGTGCACGCGCGCGAGAGAGAGAGAGAGAGAGGCGCGGGCGCGAATCGCGCGATGAACAGTGTGTGTGTGCGTGTGTGTGTGTGTGTGTGTGTGTGTGTGTGTGTGTGTGTGAGAGGCACGGGCGATCGAACAGTGGAAACGTAAAAACATACTCCGTCATTTTTTTCATACAGGACATCATTAAAACTGCAAATTGTTTACTTATATTTGTGTACACTCGCAATAAAACACAACATTGTGCTTTTGTCACACTCTAAACTCTTGTCAAACTGTAACCTACAACTGTTAACAAAAGTTTTTAAGGTAGTATTATTTTATACGGAAATCAATTATTTATAATTCAGATGAGAATAAAGTTAGTTAATTAAAATGAAGGAAAAAAAATATCTTGATCTGAAATAGCAAATTAATTTTAAATTCATTCAGGTACAATTACCAAACATATCTCAAGGTCTTTTCGTCTTTTTAATAATTTAATTAATAAACTAATTATATAAAACTACTGTCAGTGCACTACAAATAAACTGGTTCTATGCCTTTATTAATAAAACTTATTTAAAAAAATACAAGGCTTAAGACATTTATAAAAATGCCTTCTGCATTTTTGCTTTGCTTTTCACTCCATTGTACCGAAATCGTACCGAACCGTGATGTCTGAACCGAGGTATGAACCGAACCGTGACTTCTGTGTACCGTTCCACCCCTACATTGTATGATTTTTAATTTGCCTTTTTATTGCATGACATAAGTATTTGATCACCTACCAACCAGTAAGAATTCCGTCTCTCACAGACCTGTTTCTCTTTAAGAAGCCCTCCTGTTCTCCACTCATTACTTGTATTAACTGCACCTGTTTGAACCCGTTACCTGTATAAAAGTCACCTGTCCACACACTCAATCTCACAGACTCCAACCTCTCCACAATGGCTAAGACCACAGAGCTGTGTAAGGACATCAGGGATAAAATTGTAGACCTGCACAAGGCTGGGATAGGCTACAGGACAATAGGCAAGCAGCTTGGTGAGAAGGCAACAACAGTTGGCGCAATCATTAGAAAATGGAAGAAGTTCAAGATGACGGTCAATCTCCCTCGGTCTGGGGCTCCATGCAAGATCTCACCTCGTGGGGTATCAATGATCATGAGGAAGGTGAGGGATCAGCCCAGAACTGCATGGCAGGACCTGGTCAATGACCTGAAGAGAGCTGGGACCACAGTCTCAAAGAAAACCATTAGTAACACACTACGCTGTCATGGATTAAACTCCTGCAGCGCACGCAAGGTCCCCCTGCTCAAGCCAGCGCATTTCCAGGCCCGTCTGAAGTTTGCCAATGACCATCTGGATGATCCAGAGAAGGAATGGGAGAAGGTCATGTGGTCTGATGAGACAAAAATAGAGCTTTTTGGTCTAAACTCCACTCGCAGTGTTTGGAGGATGAAGAAGGATGAGTACAACCCCAAGAACACCATCCCAACCGTGAAGCATGGAGGTGGAAACATCATTCTTTGGGGAT